TTCAAAAAGAAAAACTTGAACTTTTGAGTTCTCCCAAATTTGAAAGAGGCAGCAGTTTAACATCAAAACAAGTAAGAGAAAACGAACTGAAGACCAAATCAAGCAATGCCAATAAGCAAGGGCATATGAGATGGTTTTGTATAGGCCGGGAATTGACCACTCTTTCTGAGCTTGCCATTAACTCCCAAGTTTTAACAAGATGGTTCATTTTAGGAAACCACAAGAGATTGTATTACTTATTTGGTTTCAAATTAAATTTTGGACTATACTGAAGTTAGAAATTCGCTTTGTGTAGAGGAAATGGACGTGGATCATTCATGGCTAATGAGCAAAATAAACCCAACATCACAAACCTTCCTCTGCAAAACAAACAATGGGACACACATGGGTCAGTTTCTAGGCGGGAAGAGTGGTGGGGCGGGCAGGCAGAGAGGGGTGGAGCTACCTCCACAGTGGAGGAGGATCCCTCCCGCTTGCCCCTCCTTCGTGACGTCACATCGGGGTCCATCCCCAGCTGCTTACTACTCCTGTAATCGCTGCGGCTCGCGAGCGCCCCGGAAGCTGCCCCTTCTCGGGGGTCATGATGGGCAGCAAGATGGCGTCTGCCAGCAGGGTCGTTCAGGTAAAGAGATTTCCCCACCGAGGGCGGTAGGGAGTGCTGACTATAGCTAAGGCTCTGGGGAGGAAAAGCAGTAGCAGAGACCGCGCGACGACCGCGGCCCTGAGTAGGGCCAGCGGCGCCGCCCGGGCGTGTGTGTGAGAATTGGACCTTGAGCCCTTTGGGTCGGGTAGTGAGCGGGTGAGCAGAGCTGAGGGTTCGAGTTAGGCCGCGGGAATGTCGCATATCAGCAGGTAGACACATAGCTGCGTTGGGGGTCCCTGGCTGTCTTCCCCGCCTGAACCTCCTTAGCCCTCCTAGGAGTCTGCGGGCTTGGCTGCCCTGGCTATATCCTGGCCAATCGGCATCTAGTATAGGCTGTGATGTCCTGGATCAGCCAATCAGAAGGAAGGCGGTAGCGGCGAGTGAAAGGAAGCGAACTCTGTATCTGACCCAGTGTCCCTTCAAGGTCTTGGGAATGGCTGGAAACCTGGCTGCGTCCTCGTCCGGGGCCGGTTCTCCCCTACTAGTTCAATTCAAGTGTCTAGTTACAGGCTGGATGGGAGGGAATAAGAAAAAAAAAAAAAGATTATTGAAGCTTAACTGTAATGTATGTTTTAGTGTAGGCTTCCCAAGCTTTTTTTTCTGAGTTTAGATTGGCAGCTAGAGGAACTGTATTGTTGATCCACGCATCGGTTACTGACTCCTGAGAGCTTTAGTGTTTGCTTCTCCAGCTGTGGTCTCGAACTTAATAGAAGAGGTAAAATTAGATACAAAGAGACACAACTTCCACTTTTGCGGTTGGTTTACACGATCTTTTTAAACTCTGAAAGTGTATTATGATTTACTTTTAACTTTGATATGAGAAGTGCATTTCCTTTTGCATAAGTGTATCTCTTAAAAGACCGTTTCTTTTAAGAGATATACTTATATCTCTTATATTTAGATATACGTCTAAAAGGTAATCCTAGATCCCAGTCTTTAGCCCCATTGCAGCAAATGATCGTCACTTATTCAATGAGTAGTTATTGAGCATTAACTAATTAAAGATTCTGTGAGGATAAGGAGAACATTTGACAAAGGACTGGTATTCATAATATATAGCCCAATTTAAAAATGGATGGAAAAAAAATGACACTGCTTCCAAATGAGCAATAAGCCTGTGAAAAGTTGTTCAATATCATTACTTGCCAGGAAAATACAAATTGAAATCAGGAAGTACTCTTCTACCTACTGATTAAAANTTTTTATATGTAATAATATACCACTTATACTCTAAAATTTTTTAAGAGTCTTTCAATTAGTAACTCAGTATCATTGAGCCATAGTTTTTCAAAGAATCATGACCAGAACTTTCATTATGACCCTAATAATTTCTCTATTGTCTACCACAAAAATATTTTTCACCTTTCTCAGGGTCTTGAAACTTTGCAAGGGCTGAAAACTAAGCTCTTCTCTTACCCCTAAAAAATAGGGCATATTACTTATGCTTAAATTGTTTATCACCATAGAATTACAAAGTGAACTCTGATCCACAGCTGTAATCTTTTTCCTTTAACCTAGGATACCACTGCAAGTACCCTTAATAGGTTAAAACTGTCCACAAACACTGATGAAGCGTAAAAAATTGTTAATCCCCTAACAATTTGGGAATCAAAAGTGAAACCTTTCTGAAAATGGAAATGAGGATACAAGAATGTATTATTCTCATGATCACAGAGTAAATGTTCACACCTAGTTTGGCAAATATTTGTTAAGATCAGTAAAAGGATTTTTTTCAAATCTTGTTAAAAATTTTAAAGTGCTTATAACTTTAATTTGAAAAATTTTTTTTGTATTACAGAATCTCATTTTGGGGAGTAAAGTCAATTGGGCAGAGGATTCTGCCTTGAAGGAAACTGTTCTGCAGCTTGAGAAGAATCTTGCCATGATCTAATAAGAATTCTATTTTAGCATTATTTGTTTCTGTCTTTGGTATGCCATTTAAATAGCAAATTTCAAGTGAAATGTTTTTTCCGTGATTTTGGAACTTGTAATACCACATTTGTTTTTTTAGCTTACTACTATAACATAGAATCTATTGTTTTAAATGTGATAATTAAAGTGACTGGCATACTCTAAAAGAATCTGAAAATCTTAGCCTTGCAAGGGCCCTGAAAGACATTATCTAGTCTAGCTTCCCACTCAATGGGACATTTTTTTCTTCATTCATGGAAGTCCCAGCTCTCGTTTGGAATACTTCTGTGCATTTCTCTGTCTAAAATAAAATTTGGATGAAATATAACTGACAGTTAAAAAAAAATAAAGATGTAGATATGCTTTTCTAATTTTTCTAATATTTTGGTTGACAAGAGAAATGCACAGAAGTCAGCAAACAATAGTGGACAAGGTCTGTAGTAATTCTGAAATACAGCTTGGCAAATGATAGGGAACACCTTTTGATTAGTCTGTTGTGGTCTCTGGAAGCAGTTCTTCATCCATGGTTTTTCACTCTGCCCTTTGGCAGGTTCTCCCTTTCCATTACCTTGGTCATATCTGAAGAGGGCATTAGAGAATATTCCCTTCTGAGCAGCTTGCTCATTTGGGGACCCAAAAATCTTGCATCTCAGTCACAGTCTTTTAAAATCCATGCTAGTGGGCCGCCGAGTAGTTCAGTTGGTTAAGAGTTGGCTTAAGAGCGCAAGCCCTGAGCAACAGGGCCGCCGGTTCGATTCCCACATGGACCTGATGCTGCGCCCAAGCTGAGCTGTCGCTGAGCTGCCAACAGGTAGCAGAATGGCTCAGCTGGTGTAACAACAAGATTGCCTGTTCGATGGTGGGCTGCCCACCAGCAACTAAGACTGAACTCGGCACCTTGAGCTGAGCTGCTGCCCGGATGGCTCAGTGGACAGAGTGTGCACTCTTTAACAACAAGGCTGCTGGTTGGACTTCCGCATGGGATGGTGGCCACGCCCACCTGCAACTAAGATTGAACACAGCACCTTGAGCTTAGAGGCCACGAGCTGCCGACGGGCAGCCAGATGGCAACTGGCACCCTCTGCAACCAAGATTGAAGAACAACAACTTGGCTGTTCCAGTTTTCCAATTCCCCAACACTGTTCCCCTCCCCCAATTCCCCAATAAAATCTTAAAAAAAAAAAAATCTGTGCTAGTGATACTTTTGTTAATATATTTTTCTCAAAAATGGTGGTGGTGGTAATGGTTGTCTGGGTTGGTCATTTCATCTATATTAGAGGTCAGCAAAGTGTGGCTTACCAGCTGCTGTTTTTATAAATAAAATTTCACTGGAACAAAGCCACCCCCATATATTAACACACCATCGATGGCTATCCTTCTACAACAGCATAGTTGAATTGAACTGAGTAGCTACAATACAGGCTATATAGCCCCCCACCCCCACCCCATTTTTCTTAGTCATTGACTTGAAAACAGTTGCCCTGCAGAAAGTTTTCTATTCTTAATTTGTCTACAAGTTTACATAGGTTGTTTCACCTCTGTATTCCTGTAAACTGGAAGTTAGATCTTTATTTTTTTTAATTTGTTTTAATTTTTCAGTTATAGTTGACAAATCTAGTTGCTTTATTAAATGTAGTTTCATATTTTTTTATCAAAAAAATCAGAATTTGCGCTGAGTACTTTATATTGTATCACATCAGGAGTCTGTCATGCACGCTGAGTTCTGCCTAACAGACCTACAGCTAGTGTACAACAGACCCTACAACAGGGTACATGGAACAAGAACGGAGTCAAAGGCCAGGTAAGATGGGGATGTTAAGAAGACAATACAAAAGATAGAATCAGAGAGTGTGCAGAGGATGGCTGAAATGAAGCAGCAGGAAGAGAAGGTAGGATGGGGATTGAGGCAGTCTGCGGCCTCAGCTTCAGCTACTTTTATCATCTGTGTCCTAGAGAGAACTAATCCAGAAGGGCCCTGGATGAGAATTCTGTGAAGGAGTGATGAACGCCATCACTTAGAAATAAACCCAGTTTGAGCTCTGAGCAACAGCGGTTCGATGCCCAGCCTGAGCTGAGCTGTCGCTAAGCTGCCCATAGGTAGCAAGATGGCTCAGCTAAAAAAGAAATAAACCCATAGTTAGAGAAAAGTCAGAGCATTTTCCTGTCAGGCTCCCCAAATCAAAATCCATACCAACAGCCTCCATGCCTCGCTCCACTCCGACATGGCAAAAATGTCCAGCCCTACAGAGACCAAGCGATGCATAGAGTCTCTGCTGTTTTCCAGAAGTATGCTGGAAAGGATGGTAACAAGTGCAATGTCTCCAAGACTTCATTCCTTAGCTTCATGAATACAGACCTGGCTGCCTTCACAAAGAACAATAGAAGGACCCCAGTGTCCTTGAATGCATGANATGTTGCTGACTTCAAAAAAATTATTTATTTGTAGATGAAGAAAAAACTCCAGAAGACATCATTCCAGAAAAGCAAATTGAAACGTATGTCATATTTAAAATATTATTTGTGGTTTTTACAAAGATTTAATAATATCCATCTTACAACATTCTTTATTTTCCACTTTATTTTTCCAAGATATTTGTCATGCGTGCATTGAGAACTTGTTGATATGGGATGTAGACTTATATGTACCTGAGTGATCATATTAGCACTTTTGGCATCACCCCTTAACAAGATACTTATCTAAAGTACCTCAGGAGGCATCAGTTTACCAAATCTGTAAATGCATTGGTGTGGTGAAACTATAGAATTCTTTTATTTAGATAGAGGCATTCTACTTTTTTCAAAGGTTTATATGTTTATTCCAACAGTGACTTTTTCTGATATTGCTGAAATTCTTTTGTTCATGCTTCTTTGATAGTAAAATCGAAGACCTGGAAAATGAAATTGAAGAGGCGAAAGTTGCTTTTGAAATGAAAAAGTTTGCATTAGACAGGTAATTACATTTTAACTTAAATGAATTAATCAGTCCAAATGATGATTAGACAATGGAAGTATAAAGTTAAATTCCATTCAGTGTTTGAAAGGATTACATGGATTCATTAACTGTTAATTGAGTAAAAGAATTGTCGAGTTTAAATAACATATTTTTAATGATAAGTTTTGCATCTGTATTTTAAAATTCATTCAACAAGGGCTGGCCAAGTGGCGCGTTGGTTAAGAGCTGGCTTGGGATGCCAGAGGGCCCCGGTTCAGATCTCACATCTGAGGGCCAGTGACACTGCCCTGTATAGCTAAGATGGTGAACAACAACTCAACCTGGAGCTGGGCTGCTGTGAGTTGGCTGCAGCCCCTGCTGCAGTGAGTTGCCATGGGCTACCGTGTGTAGCCAGCAGCCACTGTGAGCAGCCATCCAGAAGCCGGCAACTGATCTGCCTCACCTGGGAAGAGCGCAATGATGGTGCCAACTTGGGNTGTGTACATACTCACATGCCTATATAGTTAGCCCTACATTACAAATGGTCTGTTCACTCACTTGGCAGATGTTTCCTGAGCATTTACTATGTACCAGACACTGCTGCACAAGTGCTTACTTCTCTGACTCTGCTTTTTCAGGAACTTAGCTATCATCTCATCATTGGCTCATTTATCTGTCCTCTGAACAATATTCTTAAGATGTTCAGGACACCATGGAAACACGAAGGAGAAGTATCAGATTTTGGAATTGGGAAGTTTCTTAGAAGGAGTGATATTTGAGTTGTTTTAAAAGATAAGTAGTCAGGCCAAAGTGGCGCCAGAGAAGTAGGGTGGGACTGGGGAGAGATTTCCTGGCGGAGGACACATGCTGTACATTAAATGGGGAATAAAATGGCATGATGAATTAGGGAAATGAAAAGTGATTCAGGATACCTGGAGTAAATGTACATAAGATGGTGGGGAATGAGGCTGGAGAGAGGTGGAGAGGCCAGATTATGATAGGCCTTGTGAATGCCAAGTACAATTTGAAGTTTATCCTGAAAGCTGTAGAACATTATTTTTAAAATTTAAATGGGGTATTGACAGTAGCATGGATAGAACATTCTTTTTAGAAGCTGGGCTATGAAAAGGAAGGAACAGTTACTAGAGGGAGAGACAAGTTTTGTTTTTAACATGAAAGACTTTAGCATGCTTTTATACTTAGGGAGACAACTATATTCAGGCATTTCCTCCGCAGCAGAATTACTGTAGTGAGTTTTCAGGCCGGTCCCAATGAGCCTATTTACTTCTCTACTCATCTAAAATGTAATACATATAGTATACAAATATATTGCAGATAAAGACACACCTCAATCTCACTAATTATACAGTAATTGATAGGTTAGTTGAAAATAGTACTCTTCATTAGTCTTAGCATTGTATATTAAGATTACATATTGAAAGGTATATTTACACATAAGGTACTCTAGCATTTATCTGGAATTTCAGGGATAAAACAATACTCTTCAAAAAACACTATTCTAAAAATATGTATTTCAATGGGTAGAGGAAACAAACTAAAATAAAGGGGTATCAAATGTTTAAACCTATTTTATGTGGGTTTGGGGATTATATATATTATATTTGTGCTTTTCTGAGTTTTTTTCAACTTTTTTACACAGAACACGTTACTTTTCTAATCAGAAAAAGTGTTTTTTTAATTACCTAATTTTCAATATGGTTTTTATTCTATTCTAAACTACTAGATATTAACAGAGTAGGGAAACAACACCGATAAAAATTGGGAAACTTCCAATTCTTACCAATCAGCAGGGTGATAGATATATAAGCCACACAACATAAAATCGATGTCGTCTTCTTCATAGGGTTGTCTTTAAGGTCAGCTGGCAGTACAGTAAAATATCTTCTGATGTATAAAGTACAAAATTATTACAATTAGCAGATAAGATTAAACAAGTTAATAGTTCATGAATCAGCTTTCCTGGTTGGGGAGGAGTAAAATAGTACAATTTAAAGTTGCTGTCAAATACAAAGTTATTTTAACGATGCTAATTATGAGGTTCAGTACATTGTTTCTTTTGTATATCGTTAATGAGTTTATTTTAGCGTTTCATTTTTTTTTATGCATTTTATTTTTCCTTTAGGTAGTCAAGCCACATACTCCATTAATCAGGTTCCCTGACAGAAGAGACAATCCTAAGCCCAATGGTAAATTGTACTTTATTTAGATTTTTAAAAAATGTGTCATGTATATTTATACATGAATATCCTATTATATACAATATTTTTCATTTTAAAATGAGGTAGATTCTGTAGCTTAGATCTAAATGGTACCTTAGGTTGCATGCATATAGAAATCAACTTTTATTACCTCCATATAAAAAGCTAATGACTCAACAGTAAATATCTGAATTTTTAATGATATTGAGTTTATATAGAATTTTCTACCTTTCTTCTATCCTTCAGAAGAATCTCCCATACTTACATTTGCAGATATTGTGAGGAATAATAACCATTTCTATATTTCTCTCCCAGCTAAACTTTTCTTTCATTCACTCATTTATCTATTCATTAAATCAGTAACTTAGATTGCTGTAGTCCGTAGCAATCGTTGCGTATAAACTAATGAAGATTCTGAACAAGTCCTATTTTTCTCTGACCCCTTTTACCAGCTTCTCTGTCCCTATCTTTATTATAAGATATTCAGGGAGAATTTTAACAAATTTTATACAGATATTTTTAACTTACTATAACTTTGTAAGAGTTAAGATATAGGTGATAAACACATACAAAGGTATTGAGAAAAC